TATACTATTTAGGGTTTAGGGTTGAGGGTTTTTGTTTGTACTATCTAGGGTTTAGAGTTTAGGGTGTTGTTTATACTCTTTAGGGTTTCGGGTTTACAGCTTTTTGATACTATTTGGGGATTCGAGTTTAGGGTTTGGGGTTTTTTCATACTATTTAGGGATTCGGGTTTAGGGTTTTGGGTTGTTTATACGATTTAGGGTTTAGGGTTGAGGGCTTTTGATACTCTTTAGGGATGAGGGTTTAGGGTGTCAATACTATTTCGAGGTTAGGGTTTATAAATACACTGTAGGGATGAGGGTTTAGGGTTTGTTTATTCTTAGGGTTTAGGGTTTAGGGTTTTTTATACTCTTTAGGGATGAGGGTTTAGTTTTTTTCTATTTAGGGTTTAGGGTTCAGGGTTTGTTTTATACTCTTTAGGGTTTAGGGTTTAGGGTTTTTATACTATTTAGGGCTTCGGGTTTAGCGTTATTTTATTACTATATAGGGTTTAGGGGTTTTAATGCTATTTAGGGATTTGGGTTTAGGGTTTTGCGTTTTGCTTGCTATGTTGATGATGACAATTTTGAAGTATATGATTACTTTTATTGTTGTTATTGTTATGTTTCATGCTTATTCGTATGATTATCAGCATTATTCTGTCATTATTATTGTTACTATTCTTGTCATTAATATCACTACTGTTGTTGTTATTAGTGCTATTCTTGTGTTCATTATTCTCAGGATTATTATGGTTAGTGACATTGTCACTCGCATCGAGTCCCTTTTCCGTTTCTGTGTAACGGCACTATCGCCGAGCGGCAGTAGGTTTTTCGTTTATTACTTTGAGTATGGTGCTTATCTCATTGTCCTTATTTTCAGTGGCAGCAGTCGTAGTCGTAGTCACAGCATTAGTCGTCGTCCTTACCCCCTAAACCCTAAACCCTAAACCCTAAACCCCAAAACCCAAAACCCTAAACCCTTACAGTATCAGTGATCAGTGATCAGGAGGAGCAGGAGCAGTCGCGGTAAGAGTGGTGGTAGCAGACGTCAGCCTCAGCCCTTTCAGGGCAGTCCCGCACCAACCCAGATCCGCCGGGCCCACATGCCCATAGAAAAAGTCTGTATTTTTTATTAAGATAAATCAATAGATAAATCAATAGATTATTTCTATATTAATATTAATGAAAATTACTTTATTTAATGGTTTAGAAAAGTTACGTGTCAATCGTTCAGAAAAAGTCGAAGCGTGCCTTTCCGAAACTCGAATCCCTCGCTGTCGAGATGTCTTTGCCCAGTGCCAGAACCCTAAATAAACCCCATAGCCCCTAAACCCTAAGCCCTAGGCCCTACACCCCAAAACCCGAACCCCCAAAACTCCCTAAACCCTAAACCCTAAACTCTAACTTTAAACTCCCGAGCCTTGTCTCTTCGAATCCTCGGCGTTTAAGGTGGCATTGCTGCCTTCGGTCGTCGAAGAGGAGCCAACGTTCGGCTCTACGCTCCTGACTGCAGTAGGGTTTAGAGCCTAAGGGTTTAGGGTTCAGGGTTTGGGGTTTAGGGTTTAGAGCCTAAGGGTTTAGGGTTTAGGGTTTAGGCTTTGGGGTTTAGGGTTTAGAGCCTAA